CCTGAAGGATGGAAAGTAAGGAGTGGCTTGAAAGAAGCAGGACCCTTTGGGAGGATTTTAAGTAGGTTTGTCTAATTTTTGTGGAAGCTCTAGAGCTGCCACTTTGTCACAGTTTCTTCAGGCTGTAGACACGAGAAAGCTGTGAAGCTTTGCAGTCTTAGTTGGACCCAGGAGAGGCCTTGCTTGTGGTTAGAATGTGTGGTTGTCTAGCAGTGACATTTCATGGGCTTCCCTTACCTTCCCTTGTCTCGTTATGTCTGAATTTCCATTAATATGATTTGAATGAGATTTTATTGGACATTTAGGAAACAGTTTAAACTCTAAAATACCCCTGTGAGAGTTCAGTTCATACAGTGTTTTAACGACCGAAGTATACTGATTGCCTGAGTTGTAAGACAAGATGATAGACTCAATATCTTATTCACAAAACTTATGACTATGCCAAGGCACTGTTTCTGACTGTATAAAACTCAGACAAAAAAAAAGGAAACTTTCCATCTTTCATTTTCAGCGGTTACATCATCTGGGCAGCATACACTGTTAAATGGGAGACATCCGTGCTCTGCTGAACAGCATCTTGGGCTGAGTTTTAGTGATCAGACAATGCCAGTTAAACCCATTATCCCTGTACAAAGCTCGTGGGTAAAAGAAGGATTTAACAACATTGAGAAAACTTCCAGATGCCAAGCTCTATGCCAGTTATTATGTAAAAGTGTTCTCAGAGTAGAACTTTTACTCAGTTTTAAAATACAGGGAAGGTCAGCAAGGTCGGTGATATTACAAGTGGTTAGTGGTAGAGGCAGCATTCTAAATGTGGCCTGTCAGGCTCTAGTGTCCATTTTTTTCCTTTGGTTAAATGTAGTGTTTGCTTTGTACTGTTTCTTCTTTGACATTCTTTAAATTTCTCATGAAGTTTGAGCTTAGTAAAGGTCTTTATAAATGGGCTTTCTGAATTTGAAGAATACAGTTAAATGAGGTTTTTCCTAATACAGCACCAATTTGATTTACATTTAATTCAGCTCTATCAGTATCTAATCACTCATCGTGGCATGGAAAAAGGCACACATAGGTTGGTTGTTTTTACAAGATAAAAGAGAATGTTCAGTATTTTGGATATTTCAGCAGCATAAGATATTGAATCTTTCAAGTAGAGTCCACTGATAGTTAATAACCTGACTTCAATTATTCTGGAAATGCTATGCAGAATGGTAGAACGACCCCTTTTGAATAAAGTCTACCAGTTGCTTCATTTATTGCGTATAGATTGTTTGCTTAATATGCTCTTGTTCAAGAACAAGAAGCCAAACTTGACAATGTTTGGGGGTTTAGTGGCAAAATAAGTACAAAGGTAGTCCTCTGTTACTATCAAATATTAACCAGTTTTCTTCTACATTGTTGAAATGAGTGATAAGGTGAAGGCTCAGAATTCTGCCCTCTTTGTTTGCCCTTATCTTTCCCACCTTTTCTTAGTCTTTTCATTCATTTCTCTCTCACTTCTGAATGATACTCTAGAGCATCATTTCTCCCACTCTTTTGCATTCTTTTAACACTTTGAAAATAAATCCATAGGAAATTAAAAAGTAATCAGATAACTATAAATTATTAAAGTATCTAGTTAATAGCTTCAGGTATTTCATAGTCCTTAGGTCAGTTATACTTTTCTTGACTATTTTGTCTGAGATATACTATTTCCAATTCATTTATTTATCTTTTATTCAGACTAAAAATATTTATTTCGTACCTACTGTGTTCTAGGCACTGTGCTAGAGATTATCAATCTTATTTTCCCAAAACCCAGGTGGTTCTCACACACCACATGCTTCTTTGGCCTGCATATCAGTTATATACAATTTTCAGCCTTCTCCCACCCTTAACCACTCAGGGAAGAATATCTGAATTGAGGTGGATGAGAGAGGTGGAGGTTAATTTAGAAGCCCTTCCAGCGTATAAAACTGATATGTTATAGCCATAATTAGGCAGAGTTCATGTGGTTGCTTGTGACAGCCCTCACATCTAACTGATCTTGAGGTTTTTGGTGAGCCAGGACACTTCTAAGCATATAAAGATATTTAAATAAAGTCTTGGATCATGAAGAAAAAGTGTTGGAGGTAGGACATACCCAAATAATTATTATTTAAGGTTAAATGTGGTATCATTAGCAATACAAAGTCTTTCTAGTGTATTACTGGGGAAGGAAAGGTTAATTCGGGGAGTATCAGAAGAAACATATAGTAATAACTATATAGTGCCAGGTGAGTGCTAGACTAGTCAGGGGGATCACTTCATAAATTATATAAATGTCTAACCACTATGCTATACACTTAAAACTAATATAAAATAATATTGAGCATCAACTGTACCTGAAAAAAATAAATACAAAAAAGAAGAGACATATAGTATCTATAGTAGCATGTCAGCTGCACGGAAAGAATTAGAGCAGTGGGGGCAGGGGGGTTAATGTGATTATTTTGAATCCAGAAGCTGCATACACCATCCATTAATTTGATTCTTGATATTCTGTTTTCTGTTTGAATATTGAAATTATACACATATACACAAAGGCACATATGTTTAAACACATTCACACATAAATTAAAAAGCATAATCAAAACCCTTGAGGCTAAAGGATATATTTTTCTCTAGGCACTCGCAGTCACTTTGACCTCTCCAGTTGATAACAGCTGCTTGACTTACAGTTTCCCATTGATTTCTGTTGCTCTTTAAAAAATGTGTTACAAAATATTGGGCCTCCAGTATGGGTTTAATTACCACTCAAGCAGCTCATCTCGAAGTGATTAATAAGCCACAAGAATAACCATTTCCTCTTCTCTCTCTGTAGCATTGGTATTTTTGGAAATTGGGTTGCCTGTGCCAAGTTTTATTTGTAGATAGAGTGAGAATTGTTAAATGGTCTATCATCAGTTCACAAGAAATCTTTGTTCTTTTATTAAGAGCACACCAGCTAACTAATTCCATTTAGAGTTTTCAATAACTTCTTGTACTCTTGAGGCAGCCACACAAATCATGTAATTGCTTCAGTTATTCAGCAGAATTTTCTTGCTAAGAAAACCACAGGAACATGGTTTTCTCCACCCCCGCCCTTTTTTGACTACACATGACTTTTAATAAATTAATGAGGATTATCAAAAAATTTAAAAATATTTTATTAAAATGAGAATTATTTTATTGAAGCGCAAGAAGTAATGTCCATCAGTAGTGGAATGATTGAATAAATTGTGATACCTTCTTATTTTGGAATATTACATAGTTGTTACCAAATGAAAATGATCAAAGTATATTGGCTTAGAAGAACACAATCTATGCAACATAAAAATATTAATGGCTCTTTACTTGACATATTTGTAAAGGTGTATAAAATGATTTAGTCTCTAAGGACATTAAAATTAGATAGGATAGGCAGACAGGTAGATGGGGGGATGTTAACATGGAAGAGAATTTAGAAATAAACTCATACACATGTGGTAATTAGGATAAAAATGGCATGTCAAGGCATGAGGAAAACCTGGATTATTTCATAAATAGTGTTGGAATATTCAGCTAAGTATTTGGAAAAAAAGAATAAGCTAGATCCCTTCCCCACTTCTTTTATCAGAATGAGTTCCAGATATAAAAATTTTTAAAGAATGAAGTCATGCACGTTCTAGAAGGAAACATTGATTTTAAAAGAAATTTTGAAGGAGGAAGACCTGAGCATAACTCCAAATCTAGAAATAATTAAAGAAGAATAAATTTGCCCATGCTATATTGTTTTGAAGGCTTCAGAACTGGATGAATCTTGAAATAATATGTTCATGGACCCCATTTTTAGCACCATGGCATTAAAATTTTATTGATATCACTTTGCACGCATTTAGACCAAGACAAACTTAAACTGATTTTGTCTTTGTAACTCTCAACATGAACCATTTAAGTTGATGGAGTTTAACTTCATTATTTGAATTTTCTCATGAGTATGTATAAACAATAATTTCTATATTAATATTACTTCAAATGAATGATTAAATGCAAAATAAACAAATTGCAATAAAATATATAAGAAATTAACATGTATAATTTACCTCTGGGTTGTAGGGCTGAGAATGATGAAGTAAGTAAACTTCATTTTATATTATTTTAACCTTTATAATATGTGCTATTTTTATTGAGAAAAACTTTCATTTTTAAAGCCATTGAAAAATAATTTAGAATTTTGTGCTTCTAAAATTCACAGCCTGGCTATTGCTTAGCTATTTCACCCAATCATCCAGTGGAGGCGGGGAGCAGGAACAAACTAAGGAGTAAAATTTTGTCAAGGGGTTGTGGTGCATATGTAATGGAGAGACACTAAGGTATTTATGATTTGTGTGTAACAAATGGGTCCTGAGGTTGCTCATCCCTCTAAGTGACCTACAGTGTTCATGTACTGTGACCTTGGAGGCTGCATACAGTTAGTCGTTTAAAAAATGTGTGTTATCTTATGAGTTTTAAATTCAAAACATTTGATTCTTCAAAGTATTCATTTTACTTAACACTCCAAGCTCAGATTTATCATAGTATAGAATGCAAAATTCATGTAAATTATTATTATAAACTAAGAGCGTTGGAAAAGGTAAGGAAGGCTACTTCTCTGAGCACCTCTTCTCCCCTGGGAGGCATCTTTCACATTTGTCTGATGGAAAACTTTGAGAAACACTACCCTGAATAAATATGAACAGGTGACAGTAGCTTGTAACCATCCTAACACTCTATTTGGATTTTGAGTTCTGAAGTTACAGAGTGGAAGGAAGTAGATTTCATAAAAGGCTAATTTTATTATCTCAGTTTAGCCAACTAAAATGAATGTTCGATTATGTACTTAGAATTCTTACTGAATTCAGTAAACGCCTGAGCTAGTAGGTACTTTAATCATTAAAACTATAATCAAATTAAAGCTAAGTAAACTAATTTTAATCAAATTTACTTTGATTTCTTTGTTTCTATCCTTTTTTTCCGTTCCACAGGTCACAGTAATGAAAGGCAGTAATAGAAATAAAGATCATTCAGCAGAAGGAGAAGGGGCTGGAAAACGACCAAAACGGAAGTGTCTTCAGTGGCATCCATTGCTAGCAAAGAAATTTCTTGACTTTTCAGAAGAGGAGGAAGAGGAAGAGGAAGAGGAAGATATTGAAAAGGTAATTCCTCTGTTTATTAAAGTTCAATTTGAACATTCATTCTAGAAATTTCAGTGAACATGTATGGTGTGAAAGATGCGGTTCTCAGTTTGTGTAACTTGAATCCTATTTAACTACTTTATCTACATTTTTATTCCAAATATGATGATCCTTAAAAGTGTCTGTACTTTCTAATAATGCAGACTGAAACAGATCCTTCTTAAGTAGTACTTCTGTCAATTAATGAATTGAAGGTAATATTCAGGCGCAGTGGAGATGGGGATATTCATAAAATTTGATGTGCTTCCCTGGCACCCAATCTGTTGATCCTCTGGCCCCTTTTCTTTGCTTCCAGCCCAGTCCCACTATAATAGGTAGTCTCAGAGCTGTTCAGGTCTTCATCTCTGTGGCATCTGGACCTTCTCATCCCAGCAAGCCTCCGTGGTCAGTCAGTTCTCCAAATCTCCTTTTCTCCTCTCACACTTGAGCAGCCGGCTCTTGTTTAGAAAGTCACACAACCATGCAAGTGACTTTAGAAAGCCACATATTCTTCCAGGTCTTGGGTAACTGGTTCTTCCTCATTAGTATTTAGGTCTCAGCACAAGGACTGCCTCCCCAACAGATGGGACCTTATCATTTCAGATATCACTCCCACCTATCTCATTCCAGGTCAAAGGATTTCTTTCATAGCACTTCTTACTTATTTTCTTTGCGTTTAACTGTGTGTGTCCTTGTTTATGTGTGTTTTTCTGGACTGGAATATAAGTCTTGTCCCTCTTTTCCTCTTCTTCCTTAGAACCGAGAATGGTGCCTGACATATAGTAGGTATTGAATAGATATGTACTCAGTGGAAGAATAAATGAATACATATTTTGTGTCAGTGCAAAATATCCATTTCTCTGGATGCCCTTTATGGTCTCTCTCACTGTGGACCTTATAAATTCTTTTATAGAGAAAATAGAGGCCACCAGAAATGACTCCTTCAGTTTCCTCTACTTAACTGTAAACTTTTCTTACTCCTTGCCCATCTGTCCCTCCTCCTTTCCTTGTTCAGAGAAATGGGTGTTACTCTGTCCAGTTGAGGACATTGCCAAGTTTATACTTAATTTGATCTTTCCGACACATTCGTACCTATTGATGCCTTGGTCTTTGACTCTCTCCAATTTCCTTGATAGCACTCATTCTTATTTCTATTCCTACCTTCCCGACCCTACCTTCCTAATTTCTTTCAGTTGATGCCCTCCCATTATTCTACCCTCAAATGTTGATGTCTTCTGGGCCTCTTATTTTAATTTCCATCTTCATTCTGGACCTTTCTCCTAAATTCTGGACTCGTATTTCTGACTATTTACTTAAATATCCACTTAAATATCAAATCAGAATCTCAGTTTGAATGTGTTCAGAAATAAGCTTTTTCCTTCCTCCTCCAATCTCATCCTCCTGCAGCTTCCCTTTCTCAGTACATGCCAATTGCAGTTTTCTGGTTGGTCTGACCTGAAACTTCGGCTGTTTTTTGTCATTTGGTTTTTAGTTTGTTTGTTTGTTTGTTTTTAGCTCCAGTTTCATATCCGTCCATCCATTAGCAAATTCTCAGCTATACCTTCAAAGTATGTTCTCAATTTGACCCCTTCTTAGCCACTTCACTATTGCCACCTTGATCCAAACCACTACCATTTCTAGTGCAGATCATTTATTCTACCTCTCTCCCTACCTCTGCTCTTGCTCCTATCTACAGTCTTTTCTCAACAAAGCAGACAGAGGGACCCTTTCAAATTAGAAGGCGGATGTGCCACTTTTCAGCTTCACGAGGACAGGGAATTTGTATACTCACTGCTTTCTCTGCATTACTTTGCATAGTGCCTGGTCCATAGCAGATCTCCAGTAAATAGTTATTGAGTGAAAGAAGAAAGTCATTGAATCTTGTCTTTTTAATCCCCATTCGGTGATCTTGTCCACACTCTTAATCTTACTACCTTTATATTGCTACCTCAGTTGGTTATCTCAGATGAGACTTTACGGAGAGCCCCTTCAAATTCAGCCTGCTCAATACTGATCTTCTTCCAACCAGATATAATTTCTGTCATTTGAGAAAAAGCATTCTCTTTGTGTATGAGGGAATCTTACCGACAAAGCTAGACACATTCTTCCTTTTTCAACCTTTAAATTCAATTAGATACCAGTCTACCTCATAAATAAATATTGTCTCTGTTCACACTTATCCATTCTCATTTTTACTGCTTTGATTCAGCTCTGTCCCTTTTCTCACCTGGCCAGCTAGAATAAATGTAACTGATTTCCCTGGTTTTGGTTGCTTCTAGTTTTGCTGTTATAATTCATGCACTACATGGCTTACAGGAGTTGTCTTAAAATACAAGTCTAACAGTGTCTTTCCTTTGCTTAAAACCAATCATGGCTCTCTGTCGCATCCAGCTGTGGTTTCCATATTCTGGTCTGGTACTGGTATTGATTTGTTATAAAGTATTACTCAGCCCCTGGTGAAAGAAAAATAAGTTTTTCATTTTTATTCAATTTTATTTATTTATTCTCTTATTTATTTTTTGGTTAATTGAAATAATTATAATGTTAGATAGTATTTAAAAACTTTTGTGTTTCTTTGGATGTTTGTACTCGGCGAATGTGAAGTTGACTATCTGTATTGGTCTCAAGTTATTTTATTGGTTCCTACAATCTGAAACCACTCATTTACAGGGTTAAATTCACGTTTTTTTTTTTTTTTACATGACAGAGCGTATTCTTTATGAAGTGTGGCCCCTACCTTCTACAAACTCATTTCTCAGATCCCTGTTCTAAGTTTTTATATACCAGTGAACTGATATATTATATTGAACTACATATTAGTGTTTGAATAAACTATCAAGCCTTAATCCTTGTTAGTTCCCCATGTCTCCCCATTGACTGTCTGACACATTCTAATTCATCTTTTAAAATTTAGCTCAGACAGCTTTCCTAGGGAGATTTCCGTGCGCTTCATTGTCACACTGGTTCCTTTTGCAGTCAGCATACTGCTTTTTAATTTATTTGTTTACATATCTTTTTCTCCTCCCCAAACAGTGAGCTTTCTGGGCTTGGATCTTACATTATTTATCTCTTCTTCAAGCTCTTGGCTTGAGTTTTGTAATTTAGTAACTGCATCTAAAGTTGTTATTTTCTGAAGGGAAATGTAATTACCTTCTCAGCTTACATAATACATTTTTTATGCCTGTTTTTCCATAGCTTCTCAGTTCCAGAATGCTAAATAAATATTCCTTGAAAATGGAAATCATTGTTAATGATTGTATACATAATGAGAAAAATACATGTAGGCTTCACCCCAATAATAATCCCTAATGTATTTACAAATCAGTTAACTATGACTTCAAGTTTGTTCTGTACCATTTGTGTTTGAAGATAATTGATGGTTAATTAAGTGCATTTGTAATACTTAATTTAAACTTAAAAGATTTTTTAAAAATACCAAATTGGATTAAGCTAACGATTTGTCCTAGAGTATTTTGTCTATAACAGTCCCCCAATAAACTTGATATACAAGAATATGGTTGCCTTATAGTAGTGGTTTTCAAAGTATGATCCTCAGAACAGCAGCGTCAACATCACTTAGAAATTTGTTAAGAAATACACATTCTCAAGGTCCATTCTAGACTTACAGAATCAGAAACTCTGTGAATGAGACCTAACAGTCTGTATTTTAAGAAGACCTCCAGGGATTCCAATGCCCACCCAAGTTTAAGAACTACTGCTCTACTATATAATGCAGACTAATGACAATCTCGATCCTTCTTGATAGTTAAACTATGAAACAAGAAATTAAGGAAATGGGTTTAGTAAGCATTCTGGATTTCTATTCACAGTTTCACTGTTTCCAAAAAAATAGTCATATTTTAGCATTAGAAGATATTTAACAATCCTAATATATACTGAGATTTTATGATCAGAGATGTGCTTTAAGAAATTTAATCTTCAGCTATGTGCAGGAAGCATTGTAAGAGATTAAAGGCAGGAAGTCTAGACCGTAGCCAGAGTGGCACTAGGGGCAATAGCAATGAGAATTACATAGATGGAATGGACAAGACAGAGCTTTGCAGAAGTTCTTGAAGACCTTGAATTAAATAAAATGCTTAGAAAATGGGATGGTTCAGGCTGTTCTTGAAGGTTTAAGCCTAGATGAGTTTATTTCTATCACCGTAGCATTTCAGCAGACAAGAAAGCTCAATATTTACAAGCTTGTAGTTCTTTCTTCAAATAATGTTAATTCTCTGTTTTGATTTTCACAGTAGGAGGCTTTACTTGTGACATGCACAAAAACATTGAGTAGTGTATGTTAGATGTTTATTATCTACATTCATGTTAAACATTTTCATATTATTAGCCATAGTGAAGCACTTCACAAAGAGGGCAACTCTTAATACTTGTATATTTTGTTTGAATGTCGTTGTTAATCTTGAGACCCATATACTAAAGAATGGGTTTAGTCATTCATTCAACTGTTTAGTTACATACTGATGTTACACCAGACAGTGAGCTAGGTGCTGTGATTGTAAAGGTAAATAAGAGAGCTTTTGTCCTCAAAGAGCTCACTGTTTAGTGAGAGAGAAAAAAATGTAGTCAATTATAACACAGTGTAATAAATGCTGTAATGGAGACATGCCACAGGTTGCTATAGAAACTAAGCAGAGAATATATCATAAGTTGGTTACCAACCACTAACAGTGGTTGATGATTTTTAAAACATCATTTGTTTTCCAATTTGTACATTGTTTAAATGGAGCTAAGAAAAAAATGCAATTTGAAAACTAAGACTAATTTTTCAAGCAAAATTGTCCAGGAAGTTTTAAACATCTAGCTTTTGTTTTGGTGGTTAATAGGTTCAACTTCTTGGGGCCAATGGCCTAGAGCAAGATGTTGGTGAGACTGAAGATGATGAATCACCAGAACAGCGGGCCCGGAGACCAATGAATGCATTTCTCTTATTTTGCAAACGCCATCGCTCCATTGTACGTCAGGAACACCCCAGGCTTGATAACCGAGGTGCTACAAAGATACTAGCTGATTGGTGGGCTGTTCTCGATCCAAAGGAAAAGCAGAAATACACAGACATGGCCAAGGAGGTAGGTTCCAGTGAGAAGGTTTTATGGTGGTTGTGAGCAACCAATTCTCTAACCCCCAGTTAACAAATG